CTCCCCTCTCCTCTCTTCTCCTCCGCATGTCACCCTCTTGCCAATGCATAATGACTTTGAGCCGAGCAGGCTGTGGCCCCCTCACCAGTAAAAGAAATTCAATTGGATTGGAAGCCAATCAGTCATAGAAAGTATCGAGCTGTGATTGGATTTGGCCCGGCCTGACGGGGTGAAGTGGCTGGGCACGGGGATCGGGTTTGATTTTAGCTCTACTCCCATGAAGGTAAATCTGATGTATTATTGCTGTGGACGTAAAGGACGGACGGACTCTAAATGCGCGTTTGGGTAGAAGGGTGGATGGCATGTGTGATTGCGGTTGACATGTGTCATGTGTTGAGGTTTTAAAGCAGCGCCAGCTCTGAGTGATGGATACAGAAGTTCAGCGCTGACAATCCAGCATATTGAGAAGCACTGCAGTCTCTGTGTCCCGAGTTATCTTCCATGTATAGAGAAAGGACGATAGGACCAGGACAGGGTGGGACAACAGAACAGTCTGGATTTTATGCAGCATAAACATTAGTGGAAGTCAGAATACGTCACTGTCATATTAAATGCCAACATTAAATAAAGCTCTAGTGCAATTAACTCTTTGGAGCATGTGTTGGTAATTACTATCAGCTATAAAACTTTATCTTAATATACTTAAAACTAGTCATTTTTGTGTTTGTTAAAGTCAACGAGCTGTAGCAACCAAATTAGTCTAACAAAGTTAAGTCAGATCCTCTGGATGGTTTCCTCTTGTTGAAACAATTCGTCTTTTATCCAAAAGACTTCTTCAGTCTGAGGAGCTGCAACAAACTCGGTCTCATAAATAGCGCCTTCTCATAGTGGATGGCCAATGTTTGGCCATGATGGCCTCAAATTAGTTTGAGAGTTTGAGCAGACAGCAGGGGAAAGGGTGGACTACAGGAACCACCTGAGCACCGTCAAACTGGTTGATCCACTATGAGAAGGTGCTATTCAAAAAAAACAAAAAACTGGGTTTGTTGAGCTCCTCAGACTGAAGAAGTCTTTTGGACAAAAGACGAAATGTTTCAACAAGAAGAAACTGTCCAGAGGACCTGACTTAACTTAGTTTGATTTTTCTTGCTGGATTATTGAGCATGCATCAGGACATTTAAATTAGTTTGGCTCCAAAAGTTAATCAGTTGTATACATACAGTAGTCCGACTATTGCGGAGGTTGCGTTCCACACACACCTGCGATAGGTGAAAAAACGCGAAGTCGGAACGTTATATTTATTTTAGTATTTATATTTTAAGGCTTTACAAACCCTTCCCACACTCTTTACAATGTTCTAAACTCTTAAACCTACGTAATTTTAACAACATACTTATATGTACTGTACAGTAGCTACTGCAACATTTTACTCACCAGCTCTGCAGAACAGCAGCTCCGTTCTGGTCGGACTCGGTTCCAGTTCGGACTCAGTTCCTGTTCGGACTCAGTTCCAGTTCGGCAGACCTACCCCGCAGCGATGAACCGCCCTGTCCAGGTTGATGTGCACGTGGATAACTGAGCTTCAGGATTATTTGTGACTTTTCTGCCAGTTCTGTGAGCTTCAGAGAGAGTGTAGATTTGCGTTGCAAAACTTTCCCTCCATTTTGGCAGAAAGCAGCAGCGGGAAGCACTGTTGGCTTCTGGGTAGTGTAGTTCTTTTGACTGGACTTACAGTATAGGCTTACTAAAAGAAAACTACAAAATGGCGGCACGTGTCCAAAGTTTTTTTTGTTTAACATTTTATCTCCTACCATCCCAATCATGTGAGTCATATTAAAGTTGACAATCGTTGAAAAACCTCGAAAGAACGAGTGCGCAAAAGTCGAACCGCAGTTTCATTAAAATCGAATTGATGCTTCAGGAGATATTTTGCTAACAGACAACAAGACTGATTTAGCAGTTGACTGATTTACAACCATTTTGTTCTTGTCAGTATCAAGTTAGCCGTGAGCGGCCATCTTGAATTAACTCCAAAAGTTAATTAGTTGCAGACGTACAACCAATTATTATTTTGAGAGTTTTATTACAGTTACTTTAGTGGGTAATTAAGTATTTTGCTAACAAACACACATGCAATTACATGATTACAGGTCTTTTATGGAGGCAGGTGATAACAGTTTATTTATATGGCCCCAGAAAAATATTTTCCCCCCATGCAAGCATAAATGTGCTCATTTAATCATTTGTAATCTGAAATTGATTTGTTATCAGAAGGCTGCAGAAAGCTCCTGGAACATCCAAAGTCCATCTCTCAGGGAGATTAAATGTATAATAATATGCCCGTTATTGTTGAGGTTTGCTGAGGTTTAAGCCATGAATACCAGTAGGGATTTAAGAGGGTTTGATCAATAAACTTTTGACAAATTGGTTTTAAGCGTATGGATTTTAATGAGAGAAATTCTGCATATTCTGTTGGCAGCATGTGGAATTATACACAAATTACTTTTTTGGGGGGGTGGATATTACACAATCTTTTTAATTGTATCTGTAAAATGTATTTCTATATCACATTACATCCCAGGATAAGCCTGTGGTATGCAAAACAGACACAAAAAGAGAAAACAATACGTTGATAATGAGGCGCAGTTGACGTTACCCTCCTCGGGATGTGGTGTTTATTTCTCTGCCTCTTCCCACAATCGCCTCAAACCACAACTCCCTGTGTCCTGACAAACCAAGGAAGACAGACAGAAAAAGAGAGGGAGTGGCAAAAAAACATGAAGTGGAGAAAGAGAGCATCCCACACAGACCACATAATGGTTGTGGGATCAGGTATGTGGGCAACGCCGAGTGAGGAGAGGTGGTCATTTGTCAGCCACTTTCTCATTTCAAACTGTTCACCTTCATTATTTTAACAGTTTTCATTTGTGTTTCTGGAGCACATCTTTGACGCTACGGATTCCTCTAATATTTAAGAGATTTGTCTTAATGACAGACATCTGGAACAGAGTTAGTCCCTGATGTAGTACTCCCTACTACCTTTTGCATATGTCTTTTTCAAATTTGTGTATTCTGCTTCTTTTTGATTATTTCATACGTATTTTTATAATTCTGTCTGTCTATCTACACAACCACCTCTTTCAAGGAAAAGTTATACAGTACTCAAATGCTGATCTTAGCACAGAGTTTATGTCAACATAGCTGTTTTTATTTGCTTTCTCTCTTCAGCAGGGGTACTACTGACGGGGGGGGGGGGGGGGGGTCAGGGAGCACAATAACTACCTCTAAAAGGTTGATGGGCCTCCCACTGGCTCCTCTTGTTCAAAAAGAGTTGCGTTCTAAGCTCAATGTGCATTTATTTTCCGTAGCTATTTAGAATTAGTTCTGTATTTTTTGCTGTATAAGTTGCCTTTTTAAAATTTTTTTAACATAATTTGCATGCCCTGCGACTTATAGACCTGATCTTAGACGCAAAGAAAAGTAATAGAAATACAGATTATGATGATAGTAACATGAACCTAGTTTATGAGTGGGCTTTTTTGTACTCTAAATCACTTCATATTCACTTAAGGTAACTTTGTACGTACTTTTGTGGGAGTTCAGTTTTCTCAGTGTCCTGCAATCACAAGATGGCGCCAACAAGCCACACGTGAACCATCTCCTTCATGAGTTGCAGGAGTACAAAAGGCTGCAGAAGACCTCCCTTCGCCGCTGAAGCATTACATGCCTACCGGTAGTTGTGCTTCTAGCCACTGTTGCATTTTCCTGTGTTTAATAAGGTTACCCTGGATTCTTATATGTTGCGTTGACTTCTGCTACCTACCTGGTCCTGGACTCCCCTGTGTGGCCTTGAGGTTCCTTGCTGCCTCCTTACCTTCTAACCAGTTGCCTACCTCAACCTGAGACCTACCTCAGACGTCTTCCTTTGTTTACTGGAACCATTGGATTCCCTGTTCCTTCTACAATCCATAACTCCACCTGTAAGAAAGAACTTATCATTACTCACGTACCTTGAGTTAACCATACTGAACCATCTTCTTGGTCCCCAGGGTTCCACTCCCTCTCCGTGCACATTACTGAATATTTCCATTATAAATAAAACACTATTAATTCTACCCAGTCTTGAAGTCTGCTCATTTCAGTCCAAGTTCTTTGGGTATTCCATTAAAACAATACAACTTTGGGTAACTTCGTACTCCATTTAGGTCATTTTATACTCAGCGTTGTTCGTATTCCCACTTAGTAGCTACAGTACTCGCTTTAGGTCACTTTGCACTCTTTTTAATTTGCTTAATCTTCTTCTTGGCCCAGCTTCATCCTCACTCTAGTTCACTTTGCACTCACTTTGGCCATTCTTCATAACTTCAGTTCTTTATACTCACCGTGGCCTCTGTTTGTAGTAAATCCTGCAACCTCCTTGCTGTGAGGCAATAACTCTAACTACTGTTCTGCTGTGCCACCTCCTAAAATATGACACTTTAAATGTTTGCCTCTAAAACACAAGCAAAGTTGTGTTTCTCTGTATTTCATACAAGCAGCACCTGCTTTGTAGATCAGCACTGTTGAGTTTTTAGGCATTGCTATTACAAAACATTGCTAAATAAAATGGATGGCTCGTTGTAGACTCTGTCCTGTTGCTCTTCCTGTTGGACAATACACTCGTGCAGCAAGTTACAAAGATCATGTACACTATCAGATGAAATGACAAACTCCATACCCAACCTCCTGCCTCACGGAAACACACATGCCTGGCACTGTGACATCAATTTTGGAATAAGATGTAAGTCCAAAAGTGGCAAATATAAACTAAGTGTAATCCAATCATATAACTAAATATATATATATAACTCATGTCTATACATGTTCAGAGCACCACAAGCAGGTTGGATGTGTATGGTGCCAAGGTTTATCTGTATCCTTAAGTTCTTACAACACCTTCTCATATCTCTGAACTTGTCTCAGCAAGGACCTCAGTCATAAAGATTAAAAGTCCTAAGGTTGGGCTAAAGTCCAGGGGTTAGTTCTGCCTGCTTAAAAAGGTTTGCTGAAAACACCAGTCCATCTCACGCAAGAGAAGACGGGTGCACGAAGGTAAGTGATTCCAGAAACTTTTCCCAATTTCTGATTTCTTCCATAAAACAAGGCCAGTTTATTTCATATCCAAGTCGTATGGCAGGGAATTAAACATAATTAGTCTTTAAATAATGTTTTGCAAGTTTGGAAATAACAATGAGCAAATAAGATTTTCATTTGATGCTAAGAAATGGAAAATTAGCGCGTAATTTTGTTTTCTACACATTCACAACCTATTTATCTTTTACCAGTAGGTTCTTTCCATTGTATTCATTTGTGCTATGTTTATGTCGCCACCCACCAAACGTTGTTTCCAATGCTCTTTTTTGTTTATGTTAACAACAAATTCTTGTATTTTTATGTTTAAAAGCAAAGTTTTGGTTGAGCTTTTGCCACAGACATTAGGCAGGAATTGTAAATTAAAACATATCATACCAAAAAAGCAAATGTTAAAGTATTGCAAACAGGAACCACTGAAACTTATTAATGCAACTTTGTTGACCAAGAGTTATGTGTTTGTATATTTGACATCATTAAACAATGGGACATTTAATCTAAATATTCAATGAAGAATCTATGGAATGACTAATTGTGAGGAAATCTGAGGTTCTTCATCAGACTGTGTTGCTCTTTAAAAGTTGCTAGACCGAAAGTCTTGAGTCTCACTAGTCTGCAGCTGTTGGAGACTAGTTGTCTACTTGAAGTTTGAGAGAAAAGTCCAAGAAAATAGGCAGATCTTCAGTTCCTGAATTCAGTTTGCGACCAAGCCACTGGCGAGCTGTGCGATCTTCTACCACTTATCTGTAGTCAGGTCGCAAAGGCAGCAGGTCCAGGAGTAAAACCTGAAAATCCCTTTTATCGACACTCCCTAGCTCCTCCTAGAGGACACCAAGGCGTTCCCAGGCCAGAGAGAATTTATAATCTCTACAGATAGCTCTGGGTCTGCCACTGGACTTCCCAATGGGGAATCCTAATCCCAATCAGATGCTGGAACTATCTCAACTGACTTTTGATGCAAAGGAGCAGCAGCTCTACTCCAGTCTTCCCCAGAAGAAAGAGCCTGTCACCCTATCTCTAAGGCTGTGAAGCAAAATGAAAACTTTAATGCGACAGTCACAAGTTTCTGCCACGGTTGTTTTGGGTTAGGTCAGAAATTAAACAGTTTGGAAACTACTGATGTCGATAAAAGGGACAACATACAAGTAAATATCATCCAAATTCTTGACAAGGGGCAGCACGGTGGTGCAGTTGGTCAAGCTGTTGCCTCTCAGTGAGAAGGTCGCCAATTCAAATCCTGGCTGGGAACCTTTCTGGGTGGAGTTTGCATGTTCTCTCCGTGCACGCGTGGGTTTTCGCCGGGTACTCCAGTGTCCTCTCACAGACCAGAAACATGCATGTTAGACTGATGGGTAACTCTAGATTGTTCCTAGGTGTGAGTGAGAGAGTGAATGGTTGTCTCCTTTGTCTCAATGTGTCCCTGTGATGGACTGGAGACCTGTCCAGGGCGTCCCCCGCCTCTCGCACAGTGATAGCAGGACATGGGCACCAGTGACCCCCACAACCCAAACAGGAAGAAGCGTATAATGATAATGGATGGATGGTCAATGACCAGAATTAACATAAACTAATTTAAGGGTTCAAGATGCCTGCGACAACTCTCACACTCTTAAGAGAATTTGTCACACAATTTTATTCAAACGTGTTCAAAAGTCACGTGGAAAGAATGCGAACCACTGCAACTCACGCTAAGAAATTGAGAAACTTCGCAAACCTTTTGTAGACATTTCATATCTTCCTTGTGAACGTCGTTTGCCTGCTAGTCGCTAGCAGTCACAGCCCAGGGAGACACTGGTTACAGGAAGACTCAGTTTAATAATCGCTGTGAACTGGGAAACCAAACTGGCCTTTTTATCTCTCTTGGTTTGGGGTGGCTTTGAAACAAATGATACATGTGAAATATTACAAATACCACTGTGCTTTTTTCCCCCTTTCTCATGTAATTTTCATTCTTCAGTAGAACTGCTGATGGGGACCACCACCACACCCCTACACGTGCCAGAGGACTCCCCATTGAAGGCCAGAAGTGGCTTGTGGGCCGCCTGTTGATAACCATTACTCAACAGTATTTTTCCAAAATCCAAGATTTCTACACTCAAGTATTTTAGGTAAATATTTGTACTTCAATAGACAATTTTATTTACTTTAAGGGAAATTTAAGTAAAGTAAGTAAAACTTTATTTCTATAGCACCTTTCACAGACAAATGGATCACAAAGTGATCCAGGCAAGACAATTAAAACAAAACAAACAAACAAACAAAAATAAGATTAAGTAAAAGCCTGTCTGAAAAAAAAAAAAGTCTTGTTTTTTTCTTAAAAAAAAAAAAAAGAGTCTGTAGAGTCTGTGCAGCGTAGGAACAGAGGGAGGGCGGTCCAGAGCCTCGGAGCCACCGCCCGAAAAGCGCGGTCTCCACGGGTTTTAAAATGGGTTCAGGGTACAGACAACAACATTTGACTCAAAGACCTCAGAGTCCTAGATGGAGTTAAAGGATCCAAAAGGTCAAGAATGTATTTAGGAGCCTGGCCGTGGATAGCCTTGAAAGTTAAAAACAAAATGTTAAAGTTAATCCTCAAGTGCACAGGAAGCCAGTGCAGGGAGGCAAGAACAGGAGTTCTGTGTGCTCTTCGGTCACTTTTAGTCAGCAGCCTTGCTGCAGCATTCTGCACAGACTGAAAGACGAGCCAGGGAGGGTTTATTAAAACAAATTAAAAGACTATTACAATAGTCTAAGCGGGGGGAAATAAAAGCATGAATAACCATCTCTAGCTCAGTCTGTGACACAAAAGATCTCAACTTAAAGATGTTCCTTAAATGATGAAAACAGTTCCGAACAAGAATTTTACATTTGTCAAAAGACAAGAAACTGTCAAAGATGACACTAGTTTTCACAGTAGGAGATAAAGACATGAGATGCTGTTTAATTAAAGGAATCTTATTATCAGGGGGAAAAAACAAGAGTTTCCATTTTATTTGCATTTAACTGCAGATAATTGTTTTCCAGCCATGATTTGATTTCAGACAGACCGTTGAGATTAGACAGTTTGTGCATCTCGGAAGGTTGAAAAGAGCAATACCACTGAATGTCATCCGCATACAGATGATAAGTTAAATTTTTATAGCGTTTTAGGATAACCCCCAAAGGATAAACATACAATAAAAAGAGGATTGGCCCCAAAACTGAACCTTGGGGTACTCCACAAGACAATGGTGCACTAACTGAGTAAACCTGGCTCATAAAAACTGAAAAAGACCTTTCAGATAAGTAAAAGGTGAACCAGTCTAACACAGTGCCAGAGATGCCAAACAAGTCTCTCAGTCTGTTAATAAGAACAGTATGATCCACAGTGTCGAAGTGTGTTTAGACAGTGTTTAGACAACCCCCCCCCCTCCCCCAACATATTTGATCATATCCCAAAGTTTAAAAACCACAAATATAGCTTAAGGATCTTGTAGTTTTATGGTTCACGGTGCAGTTTCTTTAGTTTTAGAACAAGAACTGAGTAGTGGTTGCAAAATAAATTATTTTTCCAGTCACAAGAGATACAAAAGAAAGACCTTCGTAAATCTGCGAGTTTACAGCGACTGTCTGATGTGCTGAAATGTGAACTGATATTCAGCCCTCCACACACAGTTCTTTAGACGCAGACCGTCTGATAGCGTTTTGTTGCATAGAGATGTTAACAAGTGTCACTGCACTCAATATGATCTAAATTCAATACTGACTGGATTCTGTACAGCTTGCAGACCCAGTGCTAGCGCACACCCACTCTGATTGTAATGCAATTAACAAGCCTCTATCTGTGCAACGTGATACGTACTAAGTGGGAAAGGAAGAGCTCAAAGGCATTTGGCTTTTTTCTCATTCGTTTTTGTAGCACTGTTGGAATACAGAGTTTTATTTTATTCAAATCTCAAATTTAATCTGTCAGGGTCAATAGACAAAATGTTGTGTACTGTTTAACCCATCTGTAATCAAACCAGAATAGTTGATGTGCACAAACTGTAGCTAGTTTGTAGCTTTAAGGGAATTTCTCTTAGTTGCATTCCTCAGCATGGTGTTACTGGAAAAGTTAATGGGATAGTCCAGTCAAGTTTGAGGTGATGTTCTGACAAATAGTTGTCAATAGTTAGCACTTTACCAGTCGTGACATCAGTTATAGAGTGTGGAATTTGGAAAAAGAGGCAACAGTATTTGTCCAGGCTAGGCTAATTACAAGTTTCAGTTTTTTACCTTTAAAACAACTCTCTCAAAAGCAAGACAATGGTGTGAAAGGATGCTGCATTAGATAATAATAAACCTTTATACATCTTCTTGACACCATTTATTTAGTTCAATGCTGTATTCTCAACTGTTAGTACAAGAACATATGAATTTGTACGCTAATAGCACCAGCTGAATGTAGTATGTAAGTATGTATCTTTATGTAATGTATGTATTTATATAATGTGTCCGTCAACCTGATCAGTGCTTCCAGTCAAATACACCCCTGATATCTCCAGCCAGACTGTAGTGTTCTTTCACACCAGTACGGTATGTTGTTTTTGAGAAAGAGTTATGTATGCCTAAAAATAAAAATTTTAATCAGACCCTTGTTTGGCTAGATGTTACCCTAGTGTTTATAAGGACTTTACCCCATTTCTCCATACTTTATGCTCCATGGCTGATGTTATGGCTGATAAGGTACTATTACCAACTCTTTATGACAAACGGTCAAAACTGACTAGAATACAGCTTTAACATTAGTGTCCTTCACTAGTTTATATCCATCCATCCATCCATCATCTATCCATCCATCCAACTACCTAGCCATTTCCTTTTGTAAACAATCCTTCTTTTGGCTGTTCTGTCTTCAGGGGTCACCACAGCGAGTCACCCTCCTCCATCTCTCTGTCCTCCGCATCCTCTGTCCTCGCTCCAACTACCTCCATGTCTTCTCTAACTGCATCCATATATCTCCTTTTTAGACCTCCCTCTGTCTTTTTCCTGGCGTGGCATTTCTAACATCCTATCAATAGGCCGTATTTTCCGCCGTAAACGTCGCATCAGTCAAAATGTGTCTAATAAATTGGAAAAATACATAAATACGTCACTTTGCCATATACGTCGCATCTATTATGCATCACCGCTAACAACCCGGAAATGTGGGCTGGTGTTATGTGAAAAATAGATTGGCTGCCAAATGGCAGCTGCTGGAACATGCACGGGAGGACTTTAACAAGAATTTGACAAAATTAACACTTAAAAACAATTATTTGTTTGTTCGAAATTATAGCAAAGGTGTGTCTCAGTTGAACTTTTACTTCATAAATGCACTTAATGGTCAAATCAGCTTCATTTCGCCGGGGCGGCGCAGCGAAATGCAGCTCATTTGACGGTTGCTCCAGGCGAGCTGGACGAAGGTGACATTCTAAGGCAAGCCGATCGTGTCATTAATAGCCACTTTTACCTATTAAATAACAACGGCATGCCATACTACTAGAGTGCCATCTAGCGGCTGAATATGGTAGTGTTCAATATTTTTAGTCAGAATTAATGAAAACGGTCATATCTCAGTCAAAAACTGGTTTATAAAATGTGGGGAAAAATCCATAAATAAGTTGCATTGGCGTATGTCGCAGGGCATGCAAATTATGCAAAAAAACGTGACTTATAGGGCAAAAAATATGGTACCCATTGTCTCCCCTCTGACCATGTCCAAAACTTGTAAGTCTTACAGCAACAGAGACACAATGTATAAAATAAGACAGAAATGCCTACACTTTGATGTTCAAACCAAAAGTTTAGATAATCTAAAAAAAAAAAAAAAAAAATCACAAAGCTTAAACTGTAATTTTGTACAAATTATATACAGTATATATAAAAAAAATGCCAGTTAAAACATAAAGTCAAACTTTATGTGACTCATTTAAGCATTATGTAATATTTCCATTGCATGTCTGCAGCATGGAGCTCAAAAGAAGGCGGACTTTTCTTTGCTAAAAACAAAAAAAAAAGACGTATGTGAAAACATTTTGTAGGTTTTTTTTGCTCATCGACTGCTTTCAATAATCACAGCAGAAAAACAAACACCTGCGAGTAAAGAAAATGTCCATGTATGCAAGAGTGGGATTTGGATCAAACAATATCCAGCCATCTTTTGGAACTGCAGCTCAGGAATAATTAACAATAGAAACATCATTTGAAGTTTGAACGGGCCAAAGAAAGTTGGGCTTTACATGATCAAACTGTTAAAAATTGGACCTTTTGAGAAGGAATTTGATACACGTTGGAATTGTTGACCAGTACCTTCATCTCACATTCATTTCTTTGTACCATTTTCTCCCTTTTTTTCTACTTTCAAGCATTTTTCCTATGCAGTCCTTTCCCTCTTTAGCTTTATTCTACCCATTCGTCCATTTATCTCAATTTATCTTCAGGTGTTATCTGTCCATTTAAAGTGGAGGGCAATTAGGCCGTCAGTCTCATTAATAATCCATTGTTAAGCTCATTAATTATTTACCTTAATTGCTGATTTAAGTTTCGCATCCCCTGACACAAAGAGCCTTGGGAAGCCAAACACACTCACTCACACATACAGAGGTCACTGGTTCTGAGGTGATAGACGAATCGAGTTTCACTTGTTCTCATTCAGCTCTTTTCCTTTCTTTGTCCTTTTTGCGTTCTCTCTCTCTCTTTCTCTCTCTCTCTCTTTCTGTGGGGGTGTGTGCAAACATGCAGGAGCTGTGATCCTGTAGTAGTAGATGTGAGGTTTCACGGATCAATACAGCTGATTGGGTGTAAATGAAAAGAGAGCAGCAGGTATTAAAACTGTGTCACCATCGCACTAATGAGGCCGCGGGCAACAGGGAATACAAAGGTTTTTATTTGGAGGACAGAGTAAGGTTTATATACTGAGTAAGAGCAGTAGATGTGTCAGTTTAATTACCTAAACGTGTTCGTTTGAATAAAAAATATTAGCATTTTGTATAAAATGTCCGTTCTACTACCAATAAAGCCATAACTCAAAACTATATATTGTTTGTTTTCCAGTTTTGTGCTTACAATTTAAATTCTGAGAGAAAAAACTAAAATTGTTGAGGGAAATATAGTCAAACTAGTCATAGACTTTAATGGAAAATTACCGTCTTTTCCAGCGTATAAGTCACCGTTTTCTTTTTTCTCACAAATTTTTCAGTCGGGCGACTTATATGCCAGAAAATGTGGTACTCCTAACGCTCGTTAATTTGGCATACCACTCCAATTTTGTTTAATCTTTAAGCATATAACAGGAGTCAGGGTTGTACAGTCTGTAGCTGGTTCAAATCTCTGATGCTAGAACCCTAACTGGTACCGGGAAAATAGACAGAATTACTCCTGTGCCCGTGTCTCTTCTCTGGCTTCCTGGTTAATACAGGATTGATTTTAAAACTGCTTATTTTTGGCATTTGGTCTGACATTTAAATACTATACTAATACTACTAAAATTTTAACTTTTCTACCCTTATTATGAATTGAAGGTCTCAGATCTTCCGAACAGCGTTTTTTTGTTCCAGGTTTTGGAATGGTCAGTAAGGAAAATTAAAAATACATTTATTTGGCTTTTAATTGCAATTAATAGTTTTGTGTTTTCAAGTATTGTATTTTCTGGCGTATAAGTCGAAGGACGGATAAAGCTATGCAAAAAAACCTGTGACTTATACTCCAGAAAATACGGTAAAAATAGCTATCCCAGACTTACTATCATAAATCTGAGTATCGTCTGCATAACAGCGAATAAAAGTTTCACAAAAAACATAACTTAAGGGAAGCATCTATAATATAATTTTTTTTAGTTTTAATTAGGGTGTTAACCTGTAATTGATAAAAAAACATATATATCGGTTTTCTAGGGAAGGATGTTGACAGACAAATGTTTCATTCACCAGATTCTGTGTCTATCAAATGTTTCTGCGGCTGACCTCAGGGATGCTTCTGTGTACCTTACTATTTAGCTAACTAATCACAGAAAAGAATGTAAAATAAATCAATTTGTACAGATTACACCCCTGGGTCCTTCACTGTTCCATCTGTCTCCTATCATAGTCCACTGGGACTCCTTTCAGCTTTCAACCTGTCGTATACCGTTTCAAACAAGAAGGTGCTCAGAGCTGATCCCTGATGTACACCAACAGATATTAACAGTTTTTTTTTATGCCCCTTTGCCTGTTTATTTGCATGCATGTAAATCCATCAACACAGCACATTAGATTAGCAACAGTTAGCTAACAAATATTGAATAAAATCAACATATTTGATCCGACAAAAGAATGTTCTGTTTACCTGGTGAAAAACGTTGTGTGTTTATTTCTCCTTATCGTTCATTTTTCTTTCCAAGCTTATCTTAACACCTTTGAACCTGATCTTAACTTTGAGATCAATGAGTGTAGAAGCATTTATCAGTGACGAACTGAACTCATGTCTGTTGCTTTCTTTCTGTTTTTCTGCAGGTTTGCGGTCATGAAAAGTCTGGCTGGACTACGTTTGAATGAACGGAGAGGTGACATTATGCTGTCAGTAACAAGGATTCATCCTGTTGTGATGCTGACAGGAAATCATTGTTACTGGGAGTGTATGTCACACGCACAAACACAAAGATCTACTGTAGGAAGTAGTAACTGTTTTAGTTGTTTGTTTGACTTTAGACACTTTTTGTTCTTCTGAGTTAAAGGTCCCATGTGCTACAGAATGTTTCAATGTATGTAACAAAACTGACTACTAAGGTAATAATAAAATGATACATAAAGTCTCTGCGGTTCTAATTTCCGTGGGTTTGCAATGTTACAACAGATATGTTTACCAAACGTCACCTTGATACAGAGGTATGCATTGACCCTTGGCATAAATGTTCAGTGCTACTTATCTGTGTTTCCTGTTATATAGAAACTAAATCGAGTCACTTAGTTACCAGACAAAAAAATCTCGGTCACTTTCTAGTATGTCATTCAACCAATTTTTTTATATTTATTATTACCCATTATAAATCCATCTGACAAGTATTTTTAATTTAGTGATAAAGTTCCCAGTCAATCAGGATCTTTGATCAAGACAATTAAAAAGGGCAATGCTCAGACTTGTAATACATATACATACATTGTTTTACTTAGACATTTGTATTTAGACATTTGTAAAAGCTCTGATAAACTTGTAGGTACCTGGTGCTGACCAATTTATACTTCTGCCAAGTTGTACAACCACCTCACTCCTTGCTGTTGCATTATTGTATCAATGGTACTAATGCTGTTACCATGTGTATACATCATTATAAACACCAACTCCCTGCTACCCTGCAGAGTACAACTGAAGCTCAGCCAGCGCGACCATGAGTTTCTTGGTCACGTCTCCTACTAAGACCCTTTTCCCTCACTTGTTCGGCTTGGCTGGAGGACCAATTCTTGGAAAGGTTTGAACCAAACTTCTTCCATTTGAGAGTGAAGAACCTCACTGAGCTCTTGGGAACCTTCAGGGGACGTAGTCGCCTAACCCACAAATGCACATTTAATAACCCTTCCATAAAGAAATTGGACCAACAAAGCCTTTGTCTTCTCATTGTTGTGAGGTGAACAAATAGGACCTGAATATAATTACCTTGAAATGTACAACTGTATTTATAGTGCATACGTGTGTGTGTGTGTTGTATTCATCATATTAGCCTTTGAAATCTACCAACAAAAACACACATCCTCCTCCTTGCTTACCCCAGCTTGGTTTCACCTGGTTAGTTCTGTAGACAGGGACAGTATGTTTGTGTATTTATTTACCTGCTATGATGTATTTTTACCCTTCATTCTGACCCTGGGGAATTTGCGCTCTAACACACATGCACTATTTATTTTTCTTTCACAATACATAAACCACATTCACAGTGTTAAACGGATACAAAAACCTTGAGCTCAAACGCACTCGCATATATACACTCACAGACCCCGCGAGGCCCCCCATTGCTGTTGGTTCGACATTTGGTTGTGACACGCCGGAGAAAAGGCAGCACAGCGGAACAGACTACCAGTAAACACAAACAAAAAAACAGAATCCAAATGCCAAAACAGAAACAACAGACCTGAAGGGAAGAACAAAACACTGAAAGAAGCACTGGTATGCCGGTGCAATGAAAATGCTGAGGCAACTGAAAACATTAATAACATCACCAATCTAGGAAAGATAAGATACTGGGATCATGTTGGCACATAATAATAATAATAACAATATGTTATGTATTGTCATCATTGTATGTTCCCATGCAATGGCAAAATTGGCTCTCTGCTTTTAACCCATCCACCACCAGGTGGAGCAGTGGGCAGCTATGGAAGGCACCTGGGGAGCAACTGGGGATAAGGTGTCCTGCTCAGAGACACCACGAGATGTGCAATGACTGGGAATCGAACCCAGGACCTTCGAGTCCCGTCGGCTGCCCTGCCCCATACCATACATTATCAAGACTTACGGTAAAGTCCTGGTTTAAAAGGTTTTATGGAAATCAATCGTGATTGTGAGTTCAAAGGAATGGACCCTGCTCTGACATGTCTGCTGGGATCTCACCTGTTTGGGTCGTCGGCAGCGCGCGTCCGCCGAGTGTTGTGCATCTCTGGTCACGAGAACTCATTTTCAAGAGAGACCTGTGTTTGGGAGCAAATGATGGGGATTAGGGGACTTGCTCAGGGGCCCAGAGTATGGCAAATGAGGATGGAGGCAGGTGTGGGTGTTTCACATTTTCCACCCACATTTTGATGTTGATGGTACCAGGAGTTGAATCTGGGACTTTCCGATCACATGCCCATCCTCTCTAACCTCTGCACCACCCCTCCCCCGCAAACATAGACATAGACTTCACTTCCTATCGCAACATAGAAATGGTTTTAGCTCAATCATTTTTACAGATATTGGAGCTAAACTCTGGTTCAATAGTAGCTGAGAGTAATCCTTAGCACATATTCATTCATTCCACCTTTATTAAACAAATAAGTCACATTGAGCCTCGAAGACTCATTTACAAGTGAGACCTGTTTGGACAGAAAATAAAAGTGGTGAAATACGACACAGTGTTTGGAGAAAAAAATCCTAACACGCTTTTAACCACTGTTTGAAGGTCAACAGAGTGATAATGAAAACAAATCTTGCACACGAGCACATAATGACGGCAACATTACACGCGAGGGGGAACGCAAGGGCGGTGAGCAGCCAGAGACAACACACAGAGGCACTATATCCTAAATGCTAACAGATCTTGTGTTTTAAACTGCCTTCCATCCATCCATCCATCCATCCATCCATCCATCCATCCATCCATCATCTTTACCCACTTCTTCCTTTCTGGTTTGTGGGAGTCTTTGACGCACATATCCAGCAGTCACTGTAAAAGAGATGAGGTACACTCTTGACTAGAGCTGTTATTTCTTACCTGGGCCCGAAGCCCGGCCCAGCCTGACCTGAATCTGGGCTGGGCCGGGCCGGGCCGGGCCATAATAATGTGCTGGATGGGCTGGCTGGGTCAATGTCGGGCTTTTGATTGCGTCAGCGGATGCACACAGGTAAAATTCCTATTATATGGCAACATGGCTTGCCATAACAATCCAATTATATGGTAACATGGTTTGCCGTAAAATCCAATTACATGGCAACATGGCTTGCCACACAATCACAAGCGGCATGCGGCCATTTAACCATGAGCTGACCGGCCTTGATCGAGGTAAAATAAAGTTCAGTTAAGCTTCAGATGGGATTATTGCCAGGAAGCGATCCATCACCTAAAAAGACGTTCAGCCACTGCACTCAGCAGAGGTGCGCTGCCGACGACCCAAACCGGTGCGATCCCAGCAGACATGTCAGAGCAGGGTCCATGTCTGAATAATGCAGAATGCAGGCAGAAGCAGGGATTTAATGCACTTTGATGGCCATGAAAGTACAAGCACCCCCTCAGCTACGATCTTCAACCATTTTTATTCAGCCACGCATGTCCGCCGACAGTTAATAACTGCTTAAACCACATTCTATATAAGCAGTCAAACTATATAACTATATAAGCAGTCAAAGCTCAATTAAAAATGTTGGGGGTGGGGTTTCAGGTTCGGACCTGTAATTACTGTCAATTCGTTGGGTCGGGTGGGGTTCGGAAATGATGTCTACGGGCTAGAGTTGGGTCGAGCCATAATTTTTGGCCCAAATGCAACTTTATCCTGGACAGGTCGTAACAAGTCCATCACAGGAACACAGAGAGACAAATGAGACAAACAACCATTCACACTTTCCCTCACAATTAGGGACAGTTACCAATCAGCCTAATGCACGTTTTTGGTCTTTGGGAGGAAACTGGAGTACCCGGAGAAAACCCATGCATGCATGGAGAGAACATAAACTCCACCCAGAATTGACATACATTTCAATCCAAAACACTCTCTGAAGCAGTTATAGGTTCCTTGCCTAAGTTGCCACAGTGACAAACTTTGGTATTAAGTGAACCAGTTTAGTGAAAATGAAAATCCTAAACTTAGTCAGAAATTAGCTTGCTAAGCCACTAATTGTGCCCCAAAGGTCCAGGAGTTGCTGTTGTCAGCACACCCACACATATTGTAATACAGTTTAACTGCAATACTCACTAGGGATTGGTTGGATAAACAAGGCATGTGGGGCAAAGCCAAGTGCATCACAGTCCACCCTGATATGGTTGAGAAGTGCCTCTGGAGATCTATGTGGACCCTTTCTGTCTCTTAAAGATTTCTGCTCATGTTTCCCTACAGTAGAAACTGATATTATTCTACAGCAGTCAGTTCTTCTGCTCCCCACTGAGCCCATTCCCTTAAATAATCCTCAATAAATATAGTTCCTGAACAAAAAATACACTTGCTTCCCACAAACAGATATGCAGAGTCAATATACCAAACAACAAAAATACCTTTTTGTTTCATGATTTTTTCATTTGGTTTAGCTATAAAGAGGTTTGTTTTGCTTTCTTCTTTGATTTTGTGTACCTGAGACCTTGACCTCACCTGTTTGACGTAATTAGAAATGGTTTATTAATAGGTAATATTTATTATATACAGTTATTTTAAGACTAATCCACAGGTATAGTTGTTTGGTTGTTGGTTTCAGACGTCTGGCCTGAGTGTTTTGGACATTGCTATCTATTTGGATTTTCACACGCAACTATCTCCAGGGTACAAAAAGACTCACTAGACCAGGAAAATTATTCTAGAGTTTTATTGTCTAGTTTTGTTGAGCTTGTGTGAACCTGTTGTTGTCTTCAAGGTCATCTGCTTCAAGACAGTGCTACATGTTCAGAGACAGAATTCTACCGAATTTGGTTGTCTATACTGTTGCATTTCTATCGGCTTGAAGCTGTCTGCCCACCCTTTTCTGACTGCTGACATCATCAAGACAAATGGCTCAGGGGACACATAACAGGATCTAGAAAATTGTAACAAAACAAAAAAAGTTTTAAACACAATGGGGTTAAGAACCCAACTAAAAGAAACAAGGAAATGAAGCCTTTTCTATAAAGTCATGAAATTGACTGTCAGATTTGGGCCACTTCCCTATTTAACCCCCAAAATTAAACTCAAACAATCAATACAAAAAACAGGACTTCTGGAAATTTGCAAAACTAACTAATAATTAATGAAAAAAGATTAACATGTTGCAACAAGGCTGGTGACAGTAGTAATAAGAGGGAGGGTCTAATGGACAAATTACTTTCTAAGGAGACTAAAGAAGTTTGGTACGAACTCTAGCATCCTCACCAACTTTCATAGGT